AGTGTGTAAGTTCGACTTCTCTACTGCTCTATCGATTTTCCATCAGAGGTTCCGCAGTTAGCCACTCAAGCATTCAATGGCCTCTTACACCAAAGCCGCGCACACTTTTTTACTCTCTGTAGCAATGTAGAAAATGTCCGCTTGCTCAGAACAACATTTTGCTTTTCCGTTCTTAAAGCCGGTCTAGGAAGGCAGTACCCACTTTATTAGGGGGACATCAAATATGATGACGGAACTTTATCAAATGGGCATTATCAGCGGTTGAGTAATTTCTTCCTTGGACAAACTATGTAAACAAGCACGAAACCGACAGCAAAAACTGCAAGTTCGTCAGTGCAACCGATAGACGTGGTGCTTAAGTAAGCAGCTGGCCAAACCAGCGATGTTCAACAGCCAACATTTGAGTTTTTACTTTTCTGTATCTGAGCGCCGGATTTTGCATGGCGCAATCCTAACAGCAAGAAAATAATGCACTGACAAAGTCAAGTAAAAACCCTTTGGCACGAAATACGTTGCAAAAAAATTTCACGCAGCTAATGGAAATGACAATTAAGATATATAATCTGTAAAGATTTACCTTTGAAAAGAACTCCTTCATTTGATGCTAAATTCGCATAAAGATTCGCTTGCTAATGAGCAATAATAAAAACATTCTACTTTAATGCATACTCGTCTCAGGACATCATTCATGGAGTAAAACGGAAAGCATTCCGAAGGAAGAGTGGAGACTTTTGGAAGAGATAGGTTTTATGATTATGCTGTAGGGCGACGACAAACAGAGAACTAGTGATAAACAGAGGTATATACAGTAAGGCTGTACGTCTTAAGGTATCAGACCCGCTAACAAATTCAACTTCATGCATAGCTTGTGAATGGCGGTGGTCTTTGTACGAAATCAAGTATCGAAGTTAAGGACGTAGAAGACACTTTGTTACTCAGCTAAAGTACCCGTGAAGACATTCTATGTACACAGCGGCAGTCTAAAATAATAAATTCCTTCACATCTGCATGGATAAATCAGACCAAGAGAAGAATATCCTAAATATAAACATGAATCTATATATCGAAGGCTATCATTCGCATTTATTGCAGAAATCAGGATTACAGCAATTCGGGTTGGATTTATATTGTGACTAGCAAGGAGATAACGAAATCAGATATACTTCAAGTACAATTGTGCCTTACTGACAGACAGAACTTGGGCATAAAATTTCCTGAAGTTGTAGGATCCGTTAAATATTTCAGATGACGTAGTCTGACGTGTCAATTCAAACTTTGTCTTCTATATTAATCTGCACTACGTGAAAACGTTTACTTATAAATGATTGAACTCACGAAACAAATCAAGCGTTGTATAATTTATACATATAGCTTAACGCGGCATCTGTTAGCGATGTGACTTCTGAAAGTTGCTGTAGTATCTACGAGTTCATTTGACTTTTCGAAAGGACATGGGTAGGCGCCTTTCTTTTGCATTTTTATGACAAATAGAAGACTGAAAGTAACATAGAGTGGGAAGGAAGAATCAACCATGTACAATTTACATACAATACAGCAAATACTCCTATAAACACACGACACACGTAGAAGACAGAATCATATCTAATGCTTTAAACAAGCCAAGAAAAAACAAAAATCTGTAACCTATGCGAGTCAGTAGTTGTTACACTATCATAAATGGACACAATTTATAGCATCCTTCTTATGAGGAACTGCAGGGCATTGCTTCTTCTCTTCTCTGTCATTAGCTAAGAGCTCTTTGCTGCTTCCAATAAACTATCCTGACCACTATAGCTTATAATCTCATGTTTCCCTAGAACAAAATGATGCTTATTTCTTTGCCTATGGAGGATAAAAGGAGAATAAACCGACCGAGACTGGAACGCAAAAAGGCCTTCTGCCGACTGAGCAGTGTCAATGAAAACAAAGCAAGGCAGGTATAAGAAATCAAATGACACTCGGCGTGAAAAAGTAAGGGAGGCCGGACATTGCACTGACTATAAAACTCGGTTAGATATTCTCCTGTTTTATCTAAGAAAATCTCATCCGCCGTTTCGCTTCCATAGATCAGTCTTTCAACGATAACGTTTCATAACTTGGTGAACATTAACGACAACGTTTTACGTAATCCTGCATCGAGATGGTAACCTAAGTGTGATGCTGAATCTTACAGATCGAGCCTTTTCATTGGACAAATGTATGCAAGGCGAACATTAATCCTTTTGTCGGCGTTTGAAGTCGTAGTACCCTGTACAAAGTACGAAGACGTGTTTCCAGCATGGCCAATATCTTCTAAAGGATAGACAAACAACACAAGTTATTTTCACCCGAAAGATGTGGGAGTGTGTGTAACGAGTCTGTGAAAGCCAAGCAGAAAATCAGATTCTCGTTGTTAAATTTAAAGTACTTAATCCTCACCATGATCCACATACGCGCAACCATTTTTTACTGGATTTAACGCAAAAGGCTTTCATACAGAGTCATTAAAGCTTGCTGTCGGGAGCTTGTTAGAAGATTTAAAGAAGAAGCGCACGGTTCTACATAACAACCATAAATTAGCGTAACTAATAAACAATAGGTTTACATTTTCCCAGAAAATGGAGAAAAATTACCATTTACAGATTACTTCGACAGCTAAATATTGGAAACTCGAAATTCTGCACTAAAGCGTAAACACCAAAATGTTAAACATGAAAAACATCAGTTTGAATTCCCTTGCAAGCCTTTGTCAGTCTAATGGCTTGATCAATACGGGTCAGGCGTGAATGTTAAGCGAAAGGGGTCAAGTTCAACGTGCGATCATTTTCGGGTGATCAGTTGTCATTCTTACTCAACGAAATGTCCTCTGTGTCACTGACATATTGGAACATCGGGTAAAATTTCCAACATTTTCAATATTCGATACTGCGCAATCATCCGTGATTAGAAACGCCAAAGTTTCTAACACAACACTTAAAAATGTCCGTTGAACTGTCTTATTTCGGTGAAGTTAGTGTGGCGATATCAATGGTTTCTAGGTTATTAGGTAGTCACTGGTCGTCTGCCTACTTGCCGTCTAGTTCAATCACCAGTCAATCATTTTGATCTGCTTGTAACCTTATTGCCAACAGAGAGGCTTATCACGGAAGTTATGTAACAGTTCATTTTCAACTTTACAATGGTTTCATAAACAGGACGACATCAATGGCACTTACACCAACGGATAAACTGGAATAAGGCTATTTATACTTAATAAGCAAATCTGATCAGATAAATTCTGATTCCTTACGAAGTCTAAACATTTACTTTCATTTCGCTTTCAAAATATGATCTGCTGATTAGCCCTTTCATACCTGTTAATGTATCTCTACTGACAAAAATCAGTTAACTGATGACATGGCATAACACCTTTATTTTATATTTTATAATGCTGAGCATAGAGGCTTAGTGAAAAAGAGGTCGACTTTACCCTCCCCCTTTACTCGGGGTGCAAGGTTCGAATCCGTTTAAGGGACAATCTCTGTCTCAACCGCGAATTCCATTGAGCCAGGAATGAATCCCACGCGCAACCAGCGCAGAAATGAGGGGTGAAATGGTCAGATGAAGATGCCAACTTTGAAATCGACACCTATGACGAAAGTTTGATATTATGCGCACTAGGAAGTTTCGAGTGATATATAAGTGAAGAGTTAAATCAAGTAATTAATTACCACCTGCAATTATATTAACTCAGACTCTTGATCAAATAAAGGCGCCCTGACCAGCCGACCTTGCACGGTCACCTCGAAGGAATCATAAAATGAAAATCACTGATATTCATAGTTTGACAACGGTTTCGCATTGCACAGGAACAAATTCCATTGACAGGTAATATGAAGAAAGAAGTCGTGTGATTGATAGAGATGACCATCTGCCAATAGATAAATTGAAACTCATGACCGCAGACTGCGTGCTGACCTGCTCACGTCGCACAGTCATCAGAAAAGAATTGTAATAAAAAATTTACTAGCTTGACAACGGCGTCGTACTTCACTCACTGAGAGCTATCCAATGATACATAAATATGATGGGCTGAATCACGCAACAGATGTAGCTGACCACTGTCCAGTAAGACAGACTGAATGCAGAAACAAGCGCTGATCACCAATTTGCGATCTGTGCCAAAATGTTCCATTCCGCTTATGCCGCGTTGCACGACGTTATTTGTTGATCACGCACTGTGCTGCCAACATACCGTTATTTATTCTCGAAGCAGGAAACCGCTCAATAAGTCAGACCCGAAATTCATTCTCTTAGATACGAGGTGTAGAAACAGGTCGTCTATACTTCCCCCTTGTGTAATGGGCGGAAATGTGGCAGTAATCCGTGATGCTTTCAATCGTCTGCACTACATAACATTCATTGAACTGAATATACAGTGACCAATACCTTAAAGTATTTATCAAATCCCCGGGTAATGGACAGGAGAACGATCTCTAGAAATGAAAATTAGGCGCAACAACATAAGCAGTCTCGAATTTGCGACGGTGAGACCACTAGCCTTTGCCTGGGTTCGAGCTGAACAAAGTCGTCCATCAGAAAAAAATCTTAATGCCTAATGGCTGTAGACTCTACCTTTAAAAAATAAGACACACCCGTCTGACTGTACCGAAACAAAGTTCAGCACCGCACCTTCAACTTCATGAAAAGAAGGGCGCAAAATGGCTGAATCATGAAAGTGAAGGAAATCCGACATTCTGATGGTAGCAAATGATCCTTTTTCCTTTTGTATATAGTCCATGAAATGTAAAAATTGTAAAAACTTTCTTGAAAAACTGCATCACCTCCTTCAGCCTAATTAAACTGACCAGTAGAGCGTTGCTTAGCGTGAGAGACACTAGGAATAACAGAAAACGGCTTTAATTCCTCGAACTACATGTTAAAGATCTGTTTTCTTCAAGTAGAAATTTTCTTTTTTTACATGAAGTTCTAAAATCCTGTCTTGCTAAATACTAAGCGAACCTCACTCAGGAAAACAGCGTTCAACTGTGAAACAGCAGAGCCAGAAGCAAAGTGAAAGCGACTACATAACTAAAATCGATAAAAAAAGCTGAGGATGCAAAACTCGTTCGTACCTCTCCAGTTCTTCGAGACGTTGGCGTTCGGTTTCGATGTACTTTTCAATCAAGCTAACCACCGACTTTTCGGTCTCGATCAGCATGTCGATGTTTGCCATGGCGGAAAACACCTCCGCCCTCATTGGCACGACCACCGAGAGGACAAACACCACAGAAATGGAAAACATTATCGACCACTGCCCTTGGCTCATTTTCTGCAGCTCTGCAAAAAACGAACAATCAATCAAAAAGTGGACAACGACGGTTGACCGATGGTCAGCGCGCGGTCGCGAATACAATCGCTGCTGCTTGCCAGACGGCGGCAAGAGCACACGCACAAGTACAACTGGCCGAAGTCGAAAAAGCGCTCTACGCATGCCTGGCCGTACATTGCCCTGCCGCCTGCTTTCGGTGCCAGTCGTGCCGTATCCGTCGTGACCAGCACCGCACGTTTGTCTCGTTCATCCTTGCTCGGTCGAACCCCGTTAGAATGACGTCATTTTGTCAACCGAACTCCTAGTGGTCAGACGTCACAATGAATGCCATTTTCCGCTTAATTAATAACACAGCGCGTCTACGTGCAAGCTGTGCTACTTGCTCGAGGGTAGGAATCTTCGTTCGTCGTCCTCAAACGTGATTGGTCCACTCTCTTCTACTTTCTACTTCCGGAAAGCGCTGAACGCCGACGAACGCTGCGCTCCGCCGTCGAGTCGAAAGCGGTCCATAATGTTCGTGC